AAATGCATCATAGACAAATGTTTGAAAAACAGCTGGCGACTCTGATGAGATAGAATTTGCAAGATAATGTATATATAGTTATAATAAATGTATGTGTTTTATTAATTTTTCCAGTACTGATAGCAGAACCGTTAACGTCAGAGCTTATCGATACTCCAGTATTTCATAATTTAGCACTGGTACCGATTAAATACCGAGTTTCGGTACCCATCCATAATCATAAGATGGGTACAGTGTAATCATAAAGGGATGGACATGGAGTTGCTGCCTTGTGATTGGCTGATTAGATATTTGCCTTAAGCGGTTGAACAAGTGTACCTAATAAAGTGGCCGGTGAGTATGTAGTATGAATAGTCATGAAATCATGGAAGTTCAATGGTCAAAAAATATGAAAACACTGTTAGCAATATTGAATCAGTTTATGAATGCCAGAAACATTTTTCAGGAATGGAACAAATGATTTTAACACACAAGAATTGACATTAAGAAGCATTATAATTTCTTTGTTCTCAGATGTGTTTGAAAAGGCCCTGAACGCAGGGTTCATCCAGGCGACTGATTATGTAGAAATCTGGCAATCTTATCTGGACTACCTGAGGAGACGTGTTGATTTCAGCAAAGGCAAAAGCATATGCCTTTTTTTCTGTCTTATTACTGATCTGCTCTTACATTCTCAAAGTTTTGGCAGCTGATATCAGATGAATGAATTTGATGATTTATTATTGATGGATTTGTTGATTATTGCAGAATGGAGCAGGGAGTTGGATGAGCTGCGGGCAGCTTTTGCACGCTCCCTTGACTACCTGAAACAAGATGTAGAAGAGAGTGAGTATCGTTCTGTTTTTATGAGGTATGAGAGAGCACACTTGTAGTAAAAAGGCACATATAACTACCATCTCACTTCTCAGGGTTCAGTGAAAGTGGAGATCTGTCCTGCACAATAATGCAGATCTGGGCAAGGATAGAGGTGAGGAAACACTATACTGTTGCATCTGTCCATCCTCCATTAACTAATGTTGTTCTGCTGATTACAGTCTGTCTTTAGTTGTTTCAGTGCTGCTTGTGTTTGATTGCTTTAAACAGGCCTTACACTGTAAGAACATGCAGAAGGCCCGTGAACTGTGGGACAGCATCATGACAAAAGGAAATGCAAAACATGCCAACATGTGGCTGGAATATTACAACCTGGAAAGGTCAGTTTTTTTTCATCAGTTTGTGCAACCAGTGAGATGTTTTCACTTCCATTGATGCTTTTTGGATCATTCTCAAATTATGATGATGGAGAACATGATCAGCAGATTTTACGCAATCTTGTGGCGTTCATGCAGCTTGAATGCTGCTGTGATTAAATATTCTGAAATTCATGTTCATTTGAGGGGGTTGTACATTTGGCGGACAAAAGGAAGCATTTTCACTAGTGTTCTCTGATTTTTAGACACAGCATTATTTTTTTTTATTAGTAGTTCTGAACCAGGATCAGATCAGAAATACCAAAAATATCTTAGTCTATATTGAGGGAGCCTTTGAATATTGTGTTATATGACTGTTTTAAAGATGGCATGAAACAGCATTCACAACACATTTGACTTCAATAGTGTAACATTTCTGAGTGAAGCAAATTTTTCAGCAAGTAATGTGGGGATAATGTTTATCCATCAGGATTTTACTGGATCAGAAGGGGGTTGTGTGCAATAATACTGGTTAATATCAATTTTCCCTGGTTGTTTGACCTTGGTTATATCAGCAGAAAAATCTATTCAATTTTAGTGATCGAGCAAGTTATTGCATTTTCTGAAATATTAAGAAACCAAGCATTTTTTTTTTTTTCAGAATGATACGTATTAATAAGTTAGGGTGGATGTTATTTTGATTTCATTTTTTCTTTAAAACTCGCCAGGTAAAGGCTGCATATGTTGTAACTCTTTTAATGTGTTTGTGGATCAGGTCATATGGAGATGCTTCTCACTGCAGGAAGGCTCTCCACAGAGCTGTACAGTGTACATCAGACTATCCTGAGCATGTCTGTGATGTCCTGCTCAACTTTGAAAGAGTGGAGGGTGAGTTAAATTGATGCATTTATAGATTGCTGTTTATATGGGTTGCCAGCTTTTTAATGTTCATGTGGGTGTTGTCTCTCTCAGGCTCTCTGGAAGACTGGGATGCTGCTGTCCAAAAAACAGAGACTAAAATCAACAGAGTCAATGAGCAGAGAGCAAGAGTAAGTCCTAACTTGCTCCTAACTTTTTGTTTTTTTCCCATACTTGGCATGTGTTTAATTTTATTTGTCCTTTTTCCTTATGAAAATAACAGAAATAATGTAGCAACAAGTGAGCAGTTATACTGTATGTATCATGTTTAATGTAATTGTCAGCAAGCTCGCCATGTAGACATGTCCTTTTGCTGCGGTTTTTGAGCAGTGTGAATGCTGTTTCTGCAGGTGGCTGAAAAAGAGGCTCTCCAAGCCAGACAAGAGGAGGACAAAGCCGAGAACCGGAGGAAAGCCAAGGCAGATAAAAAAGGCCAAAAAAAGAGCCAGAAAGCAAACAGAACGGGGGATAAACGGAAGGCTGAAGATGAGTACGAGGAGGAATGGGGAGAGGATGCAGGTATGGGTGAAGAGCTTTTTAAGTTGTGTAATTCTATTGTGTTAAAAAAAAAATCTGTTTCCAGACAAATTGGAAGTCATTTTCAAACAAAATGTCAATTTGTAAAAGCTAACAGTGTGGTTCAGATTTCAGCTGTACTGAGATATCAAATGTGTGCAGAGCTGCCATCCAAGAGGCTCAGAGGGGAGAAGGACTTTGGTAGCACAGCCACAGAGGAGCTCATGGAGACAGAAAGTGGGCTTTTCGGCCGACGAGCTCCACCACGTAAAACTGAGCCACCTGGTTTCCGTAAGAATCAGCAGGGATCATCTGAAGCACCGCGACAACCCCAGGACGTATCAAAGGAGCCACGCAAAGATGAAAATAGTGTATTTGTCAGTAACTTGGCTTTTAATCTGGATGACCCAGATGGCAAGCTTCGAACATTGTTTCAGGGTTGTGGGACTGTACAGCAGGTGCGGCCCGTGTTTTCAATGAATGGTGTGTTTAGAGGCTATTGCTATGTGCAGTTTGAGGACCAACTGGCTGTACCTGAGGCACTGAAACTGGACAGGCAGGAGGTGGATGGGCGGCCCATGTATGTGTCTCCTTGTGTGGACAAGAATAAGAATCCTGACTTCAAGGTATCTAGAATGTATACTACTCAATTTGTGACCTGGTGTTTAGTGTTCCCTGATGTTCACAATTTCTAGCACATTTCTTTCACTTTGGTAATCATAATCATAAAAATGTTAATCATTTGTAAAATGTGTCTTAGGTATTTAAGTACAAAACAGCAATGGAAAAGCACAAGATCTTTATCTCAGGCCTGCCGTACACGTGCACTAAAGAGACACTGGAGGATCTCTGTAAACAGCACGGCACAGTGAAAGCCATCCGGCTGGTCACCAACCGTTCTGGCAAACCCAAGGTGTGTAGGCCTCTGTCATTAACATAAATATACAGTTATCCAGTATCCTGCAAAATATAGCACATACTGACAGCACTAATATATATATATATATATATATGTATATATATGTGGGCTGTCGATTTAACATGTTAATGTAATTAATTAGTTATGAAAAGAAATAACGCGTTCAAAATTTTACCGCAATTAACGAACCAGCCCTGCCCTCACCTCACGTTATGTCATCTTACATTTCATAAGGTGTGTTCAGTTGATCGGTGTGTGGCATCAAAATACCGCGAAAGCGATTCGAAAGCATACAGAGCCATCTGCTCACTAAAACTCTCGTGGTATTTTGATGTCATACACCGATCAATCTGTGCAGCTCCACTTCAAGTCGAAGCACCTATACAGTTGATTTGTGACGAACATGATGCAGGTCAACAACTCGCAGCGTGATCCAACTTTTATAATGCAGTTATATGCCCCTAAAATTAAAGACACAAATGCTCAGTTTTGCCAATGCAAATATTACCTCTTAAAGCCACAGTAAAACTGTTGTGCATCTCCTAGCAACACAATTTCTGAATAAATTTGCAATTTGAAGGAAATTAATGAGTGAATAAATGATTTATTCAATAAGATATTTACTGCCACCTACTGGTGGTTTTAGTTTCTTATTTAGAGTATCATTTATTTAAAAATGATTTCAAATTTACGTATGAATAAAAATCTGGGGGAAAAAAACATTAATAAAAAACAAGTAAAAGAGAGAGTTCAAATTTCTGTCTAAAGCAGTTTTTTGTAATGACTATTTCATGATTTTCTCATGTAACAAAATAATGTCTTTAAATTAAATTATCTTTTGTGGGTAATTTCTTATCCAGATTTGTGTAATTAATTTGATAAACAATTTTAATCGATTGACAGCCCTTATACAGTATCACAGTACACCCCTCACATTTTTGTAAATATTTTATTATATCTTTTCATGTGACAACACTGAGGAAATGACACTTTGCTACAATGTAAAGTAATGAGTGTACAGCTTGTATAACAGTGTAAATTTCCTGTCCCCTCAAAATAACTCAACACACAGCCATTAATATCTAAACTGCTGGCCACAAAAGTGAGTACACCCCTAAGTGAAAATGTCCAAATTGGGCCCAAATTGTCAATATTTTTTGTGGCCACCATTATTTTCCAGCACTGCCTTAACCCTCTTGGGCATGGAGTTTGCCAGAGCTTCACAGGTTGCCACTGGAGTCCTCTTCCACTCCTCCGTGACGACATCACGGAGCTGGTGGATGTTAGAGACCTTGCACTCCTCCACCTTCCGTTTGAGGATGCCCCACAGATGCTCAATAGGGTTTAGGTCTGGAGACATGCTTGGCCAATCTCCTGTTAAACCTCTGTATGGTCTTGGCCACCGTGCTGCAGCTCAGTTTCAGGGTCTTGGCAATCTTATAGCCTACGCCATCTTTATGTAGCGCAACAATTCTTTTTTTCAGATCCTCAGAGAGTTCTTTGCCATGAGGTGCCATGTTGAACTTCCAGTGACCAGTATGAGAGAGTGAGAGCAATAACACCAAATTGAACACACCTGCTCCCCATTCACACCTGACACCTTGTAACACTAATGAGTCACATGACACCGGGGAGAGAAAATGGCTAATTGGGCCCAATTTGGACATTTTCACCTAGGGGTGTACTCACTTTTGTGGCCAGCGGTTTAGACATTAATGGCTGTGTGTTGAGTTATTTTAAGGGGACAGCAAATTTACACTGTTATACAAGCTGTACACTCACTACTTCACATTGTAGCAAAGTGTCATTTCTTCAGTGTTGTCACATGAAAAGATATAATAAAATATTTACATAAATGTGAGGGGTGTACTCTCTCTCTCTCTCTTTCTCTCTCTCTCTCTCTCTATATATGTATATATATACACACACACACACACACATGTATTATTTATAAATGAATGTATACAGTACTAATGAAAAGTGATCAAGTGATCAATTGTGTGAAAAGTTGATGTTACAAAATATTCTATTTCAAATAAATGCTGTTTTAAACTTTGTTCATCAAAGAATCCTGAAATGTTCCAAGAAAATATTAAGCATCAAAAACTTTTTAAAACTGATGATAATTATAATAACCATTATTAATAAGTGAGCACAAATTATAATTGAGCAGCAAATCAGCATATTAGCATGATTTCTGAAGGATCATGTGACATTGAAGACTGGAGTAATGGCTGCTAAATATTCAGCTTTGCCATCACAGGAATAAATTACATTTTAAAAATACATTGAAATAGAAAATAGTTATTTCAAATTGTAATAATATTTTTACAATATTACTGTTTTTTTGATAATAAATGCAGCCTTGGTGAGCATAAGAGACTTGAAAAACATTTAAAAATCATAATGATTCCCTACTTTTGAAAGTACTGTATTTTTTGCTGTCTTAAAGTTTGAATTCACCCTTCCAAAAATGAAGGCCTTAAAAGCTCTTAAATAAGTTCAGAAAGTCTTAAATTCATAGTCATTGCATTAAATGTTGTATGCACTGCAAAAAAATATTAGTCAATGGGGTATAAAAACAATCTTTTTTTATTTTTTCATTTGATATAGTATTTTTTTATGAGCCCAATGGCAGATATTTGTTCTTGTTTTAATCATGAACTCAACTTTAACAAATTTCTCATAAAACAAGTTGTCATTTAATTTCTCAAGTAAATGTATTTTGATTCAAGAATATTTTAGATATTTGCACTGGAAAACAAGATTATAAGAAAGCAAACTAATAAGTAAGAACAGCACATTTTTTTGCAGTGTGATCAGAAGGAACAGTAAAAGTTATTTCCATATTCCAGTGTTTGGGAGCAGAGCCATTCAAGCCTTTTTAAATGAATTAAGTAGTAATGGAGATTAATTTGGAAGCTTTAAACTTTGAAGTGTTGCTAATACAAGTCATTGTCTGCTCGCTAGATTACATTTAGACACAATATTGACATATTTTTCTAAATTTACCTTTATAAAACCTGAAACCCTGTATAGTCATCTCCAAGCTAATTTTTTTTAGAATATAATATTCACAGTGTTTCCCATAGACTTGCACTCTGTGTGGTGGCACTTCCCCTGTGGGAAATATAGGCTATATATAAAACGGCAGATGACTGATTGATTAAAAATGCAAATTAATTCTCTGCCAGCAGGAGGCGCTTTTGGAGCGGCAGAAATAGCCGTTTCCCCCATAACGGCTGTAATCGAAGCAGCGCTCCACTCAAAAACGCTGCTTTATCAGGCATTATAGGAAAGATTAAATGAAAATGACATCGAAACTTTTCTAAAGGCAGTCAGTTCCCTTCAAAGATACATTCATATAAAAACATCCGTGCCACGTTTTGACTTTGAAACATGCAATGCTCATGTTTATTCAACGAAGTCATAGCCTTTTAGAAAATCTATTTGTGGTGGTCAGTTTTGATATTGTGGCGGGCCGCCACAAATAAATCAATGTATGGGAAACACTGATTCATATTCCTGTAGATACATTACATGTCCTAGAGTTAAACAAATAATCAAAGGAATATGTCGTTGTCTCTTAACATTAATGTGTTTATGTGCTTTGTAGGGTTTGGCGTATGTAGAATATGAGAATGAAGCACAGGCCTCACAGGCTGTGCTGAAGTTGGATGGCACCATGTTGGAGAACTTCACACTCTCTGTTGCCATTAGCAACCCCCCCGGCAGAAAGATGGAAGATAAAGGAGTGCCTAGTCGACTCCTGGGGGCAGCGATGCCAAGGCAACCTCAGGGAGCGTAAGTACTAGATACGCCGGGTTAGCTGGTCACATGTGTTGAATTACTGCTATGTGGATGTCAGTAATTATGCTGTGGAAATTTGTGGTCTTGGATACGAAGACCTGTGTCTCCAGAGGAAAGACAATTATGGTCGAAATTTGCTGTAAAATTTGATTTGGGAATCAGGTTCAGCTGCCCCTTACTATATAAATTGCTGAATGATTAATCGAAATAAAATCAGAATTGCAATACGGCTTAGTGCGATTATCAAAGGCTGCAATTTAATTAGATAAAAATACATGCTGTGTGAATGAAGCGGCTCATGATTAGAGCTAGACCGATATGGGTTTTTTGAGGGCCGATACCGAAGACTTCTGACTTCTTCTGACACAAAGAATATCGGCCAATATATCGATATCGGCCTTTTTACCAATATTTGGGAGTAAAAAAAGTCCGATATCGATATATCGGCCGATATTCTTTTGTATATATTATAGTACAGCAGTGTTAATTTCGTCAACGATGACGAAAAATATTCGTTAACGAACATTTTTTCTTTGACTAAGATGAGATGTGGATGAGCTAAAACTAATTTTCTGATAAAAACTATGATGAAATTTATGCCGTGTCTTCGTTAACAAGACGAGACAGAACTAATGTTATTTGAGGGCTACCATACATTCAAAATGCATCCTATAGGCTACTGTCTTGTCCTTCAAATTTTGTCCCTGTCATTGGATTGCAATCGGATAAGGGGCGTTTGCATATCTAGTCTCAGTATGGCAGCTGCAGTGGATGGATAGGCTACCAAAATGCGAACTAGCGACCTGAAACAATAGCCTCAGCACCCGAAGGGGTAGGGATAAGGTGGCCAGACGTCCTATTTTTCCCGGGAGTCACAATTCGTTGTCGATTAACTTAAAGTTAGTAAAGGTGGGATAGGCGGAATCGCGCTGATAGAAGTGCTCTCTCTTACGCACGCTCCACTTCTTCAGTTCTTATATACAGTGCACGATCAGGTCTCAGTGCTCAAATACACACACAGCAGACCAAATGTCTATCATGTAGAGTATCTCATGTAAATACAGTCGGTTATGGATTAAGTGAATGTAAACAGGTGGGTGAAAACTGAACGCGTGTCAGTATTACATGCATGCCTTCCATCACAGCATCACCAGGGACAGCATTCCTAATTAAGTACCTATCCGTGTCATTAGTGTCATTAATGTCAGCCAAACAAAAGGCGTTAAATAAATGTTAAGTAAACCTACTGTATCTGAAAAATTTGGTTAATTTGTATCTCTTTCGTATTTATCTTATTGTCTTATTCTGCTTCTTTTTCAAAAATTAGAAATTATATTATATATGAACAACTATAATTTTTATAAGTTGCTCCCTTTTCACTACTGTTAAAGGGATAGTTTACCCAAAAATGAAAATTGTCACCATTTATTCAAGTTTTTCCAAATTCAATCCTTGATTCACATTTCTCATAAGCTTAATTGATTTGGTCTAAAGAGAGAAGAATTAATGACTATTTTTGTTTGAAGACTACATATAAAATAGCTACCAAAATAAATGTTGGTAACTGCAGTTTGACTAAAAGTCATGACTAAAAATTGACAAAAATGCAATGATTTTTCGTCGACTAAAACTACGACTAAGACTAAAATGTGACTAAGACTCCTGTCAAAATGAACACTTTCCCATTCGTGTGTCCAAACTTTTGACTGGTACTATATATAGAATGCAGTATATACATAAACAGAATATATACATATTTTTTGCAATGATAACTCAAATATGGTGATTAAACACTTATAATGACGTGACAAAGATATGTAATGGAGGCAGGGTATTTAACAATTTAACAATAAACTTTATTATCCAAAATGAGTCTGACATCAGTGCACTGAACAGTAGTTGAAGTTTATTCAACTTTATTTCAATTAAATTCCATTCAACTTTATTCCGTTGAAGTTTATTTCACTTCGGAACATTCATTCATGGATTTGCGCCTCTGTCTTCACACACAGACAAAACTTACAAGTGAAGTGTGACATAATGTACCTCTGTAAGTAAATACTATTTAAATTCACGCCTCGCACACTTTAATGCCCTTTGAATGTAACATGAATGTTAGGGCTGCACGATTAATTGAATGCGATTGTCATGCGCATTTTGATAGTAATGCCGGTTCTGTAATCAGCAGGAAATCATCATCACGTGCTTTCAGATGGAGCAGAATTTACTACACACAGCCGTAGTTCACTGACAAGTTACGCAAAAAAAAAAAGATTTTATTGCGCGATTATGAAATCGTTTGCGATAATGACAGCTGTTTGCATAGCTTCTCAGTGAACTAAGGCTCTGTGAAGTAAATGCCCCTCCATCTGAAAGCATGTGAAAATACCACACTTAATAACATATTTTTACTCCAAACTCACTTCATAACCTCAGTCGAGTGTTTGAAATAAATCCTTCTGTGAGATGATGTGGCTTCTTACACAGAATAAGGCACGCAACATATTTCATAGTATTCAAGCAGTGATAAAGGCATTGCATTATAAATATGCTTTATTTTAATGAAAATTATCATAAGAACTCAGATAAACCGTATATTGCCGTAGTCGTGTGTTTATTAGTCACGTTGAATCAATGAAAGCAGTTGAATCTTCTGTTTATTCAGCTGCAGCGATAGGCATTTTCTGGGTTTCTTCTGCGAGACGTATTTGGAGTTTCAGTGCGAGAGCACCCTCTGGCCTTTGGATGGAAATTTACTGCTGATCACAGAACCGTGCTTCACTGAAAGATACGCACGACAATCGCAGCTTCTGTCGAATCGCGATCTCGATTCCATTTCGATTTATCGTGCAGCCCTAATGTATGGTCCCTTCGAAATGGAATCATGGCAGAATATCCTGTGAAGTCCACTTCGCAGGGCAATTACGGTCGAATAGAACAAACCTCTGAAGTGATAAGAGAAATGTGCAGAGCGGTAGTTGCGAGGAACAAGATTAAGAACTGCTGCTTAATAGCATTGCGTCTCACCAACTAGGTGACAATGTAGCGCTAAATCACCATTCAACAGACTCAAGCCACCACCGCACACATCAGTTTAGTAATTTACCATTGAGACACCGCTTGAATGCTGCTGCCTGAACAAGTGACCTCCTTACTGAAGTGAAAGGGTTGGCTGGTGTCACTTAGGGGTGGATGATATGACCCAAATCTTATTTCATGGTATGATACATTTTATTTAATGATAACGATATATAACTTGATATAGCTATTTTTATTTTATTTTATTTTTGATATTAAAAATAAGACCAAAAAAAAGCTAATTACAAACACAATAGAACAAATAAATATGAAATAAACTTTTAATTTATTCGGCTACAGTAGGCTAGGTTTATTGAACATGTAAGAAATATTACAGAAATTGAATAAAGTGTATAAATAAAACACTGCATAGTCTTCACTGTATCAATCAAGCATGAACATGATTCTTATTAAAGATCCAAAAGTGATTCAGTCAAGTGATTAATAATGACAGACAGTAGTAGGAAAATAAGGCTGCTGTCCCTTTAAGGCCAACTGCACGGATCCAATATACTGATACACATCCTGTTTTCACCCAACTGTTTACGTTTATTTAACCCATAACCGACTGTGTTTACGTGAATATGCCTTACGACCAGGGGCGGATTTAGTGAATTTGGGTCCCTAGGCAAAATGTATGAATGGGGCACGGGTTTTAAATATAGGCCCTAGCCCGTCTTTTTTCCCCTTTTCCCAAAAAAAGCTTATACTACTGTTTCAGCTATTAAAATAGTTCAGTTTTGTATGAAATGGAAAAGTGATTATATTTCGTTTCGTTTTTTTTTATATAGTAAATTTAGAAAAACATTTGGAGTATTTTTTTTGTTCGTTAAATGTAAGTTTTTTTTGTTTGTTTTTGTTTGTTGTTTTTTTTAAGTAAAGGCCAGCAGCAGACAGTGAATTGATCATAGCCTATAGCCTATGTTTGATCAATTTAGCCTTCTCAAATCATCAGGACTTGCCTAAAATAAAATATATATAAAATATATATAAAACAGTTCAAGTACCATATTGGCCCGAATATAAGACAACCCTGATTATAAGACGACCCCCCTTTTTCCAGATGTACCTTTTGGAAAAAAGGCTTTTTAAAAACCAAATCTTGTGTTTTCTTAGCAAAACACGTTTTGTCTTCAATTATTTTCATATTGCATATTTTTCCTATTTTAATTTTTGTTTTGAAAGTATGGTTAAAAACTGGTATTGTATGAAATGGAAAAGTGATTATATTTCGTTTCGTTTTTTTATATAGTAAATTTAGAAAAACATTTGGAGTATTTTTTTTGTTCGTTAAATGTAAGTTTTTTTTGTTTGTTTTTGTTTGTTGTTTTTTTTTAAGTAAAGGCCAGCAGCAGACAGTGAATTGATCATAGTCTATAGCCTATGTTTGATCAATTTAGCCTTCTCAAATCATCAGGACTTGCCTAAAATAAAATATATATAAAATATATATAAAACAGTTCAAGTACCATATTGGCCCGAATATAAGACAACCCTGATTATAAGACGACCCCCCTTTTTCCAGATGTACCTTTTGGAATGTAAAACTTTGTCCTACCAAATCTTGTGTTTTCTTAGCAAAACACGTTTTGTCTTCAATTATTTTCATATTGCATATTTTTCCTATTTTAATTTTTGTTTTGAAAGTATGGTTAAAAACTGGTAAAATTTATAATTTGTTTTATTTTATTATTCCGTACAGTTAAAAAATAAAACACTAATTATAATGGCATATATGTAAAACTTTGTCCTATAATTGTATAGCTGCTTTTTCTTATTTTTGTTGCTCTGTTCTGAATACCTTAAAATTTAAAGGATTTGCTGCAACGCAATTTTGTATGATATGTTAATTATTTATATTTTTTATCCATGAAGCAAATGCTTTAAAAAACAGCTTTAAAATTACTTTATTGCTTTCCACACGCTTTTAAAGTACTTTTCACTATAAATTTTTCGGGTAGCTTGAATGTAAACATTGTCATGAATTTGTTGTATTCCCATTTGTAAAATAGCCAACAAATTCATTGTTGTAGGCTAACCCAATCTCATGAAAGTGCGTAGGCCTATAGCACGATTTTCTGCTTCTATTTGGTGTAATATTTCTATGCAGAAATTGACTTTGGCACGCAAAAGACTGATAAATTCATAATTAACGGCATGGGTTCAGTCGACAGAAATAACGGACACACAGGCCTATAATAACTGCTGAAATGTTTACGGGGCAAATCTCAGATCAGTCTGAGCGCTCGTGGTACTCCGTGCATACAGCCGTACACCTGCAGGCGCCAAAGACTCGGACGGTTGTCGTGGTAATAAACACCGTAAACAGAAAACATGCGCATATCCTATATGAAAAGAATTTTAAGGGGCCCTTGGCTTTTGGGGGCCCAAGGCGGTCGCCTACCTTTGCCTAATGAGTAAGTCCGCCCCTGCTTACGATTGTGTGCGTATTTGACCATTCAAACATGAAAGAAATCTGTTTTCGTGAGCGCATGCAAGGGGCTTTCAGTGTGCGCTCTTCGGCTGTGTGTCAGTCAGCGCGAGCACCACATTGAGTTCTTTTTCACTGCTTATGGCAGTTTATCAAGTGTGTCCCACTCTTTTTCTCATTCATGCATATTTCCTTGTCACTCAAAGGTGTATATAACTTTTAAGTAGTACTATGTAACGCAGATATATTTGCATACCACGGAACACACGATATAGCGATATATACCGTCATACCGCCCAGCCCTAGTGTCATTATCTCACGAATGTGGTGGCGGATCTCCACCAAATTCGGGGGATTCCTTCAGCTCGAGGAGCCCTCTCGAATGCCACCCTCCGCGTGTCGGTATCGGGCTATCAACGCGGGGATGGTCTCATTCATAAAGGGTGCCTCGAGACGTTCACTCGATTCGGCGTTCGAGAGGGCTCCTCGAGCTGAAGGGATCCCCCAAACTTGGTGCGGATCCACCGTGCCGTTGCGGAGATATGGCTCATATCGGCCTATAAAATCTGAAAAACGATATATCGGTCGGGCTGTACTCATGATCTGGTGTTTTCAGTGTCTCAGAGTGGCTTGGTTTGCAGTAAGTGCTGCTCCACCAAACTCATCTCTGCATGTGCTGAGAGTTTGGGTTGCTTATAATGTGCATTTGAGAACACAACATGCACCAGCCGTTACACCAGATTTGTAATGAGAAGCAATTATAAACCTGAAACTTTGAGGGCTCCCCACAGTTTTGTGCAAAAAAGAAAGCTTGAGTTTTGAAAATAAAGAAATGAGATGAGTATTAATATTGTAATTTTACTATAATACTATAAAATAGAATTACTATTGTTTCTTAAATCTTCACATTAAATAGGTTAAATTACATTTTTTAAATCAGTTGCAATTGCAATTACATTTTTCCCACCCAAATCGTGCAGCCCTACTATCATACATCATTTTCTGACAAAGCCTTTTGTGGTTCACATTTGTTTTTCTTTTTGTTTTCATCATAGTCCTGGTTAACTGAAACACATCAGTTCTTTCTCTTTACACATTTTTATTTCTTTTCAGAAGAGGGAAAGGACGCACCCAGATCTCTCTGCTGCCACGCTCTCTATACCGGCAGAGTACTCCAGATGCCAAAGCAGAGAACGGGACCGTTTCTGCACCACATACCACAGTGACAGATGGGGTGCACGGAGGACCTGGATCCGCAAGCCTGGACACTCAAACCAAGTCTCTCTCCAATGAGGACTTTGCCAGGATGCTCCTCAAGAAGTGAAACTGTATGCAGATAACACAAGAAGAATACCTGCCTTCTGACAGAAAGCCATGCTGTGTCCTTTCAAAGTCTGGCGGAGACACAGCGTTTTAATTTAGCTTACAGCCTACGTGACCACTCCCGATATATAGTAAAACTATTTTAACACCTCAACCATGGAGATGTGAGCTGTATTGTTTTCTTTATTTCTTAATAATAACGAAAGGGATTTGGGGGGCAGATTTCAGATTTTGTCAGCGAGTATTTTTTTAACGGGATGTTAAAAAAAACGATGTGAATCGTTGTTTTAAAAGGTATATGCAAGAACATTTCATATGAAGATACATGATGTATTAAAAATAGGTTTCAACACGGCTTCATTTCTCAGTAGGTCCCTTTTGGGGCAGTTGATATGTAGATGCGTCCTGTACCTCTGCCTTGTCAAAGGCAACAAAAAAAATAAAGATCAAAACCTTTATTTTACATATTCTCTGAACTGCTTGTATAAATTTATTTGCTGTACCATGACCATTTGAAACATTCTTGCATGTTTAGATTTACAACTAATTCTGTAATAAAGTCTTCATAAAAGCACTAAATGGAGTAATAGATGATCTTGTCAGCAAATAAAATCCAGCACCTTGCCAACAACACGTGACTAAGAGGTTTAACTTGTGTTAATTAGACTGCAGCGCTTCAATTAAAAGCTGTGCACTGTCCTGTCCTGAAAATGAGTAGATAAATTTTTTTTTTTTTTTCGTGCATTTTGTATTTCTCCAAGTGCTGCCCTTTGATTCTAGTTTAATTGCTGACACAGCTTGTAAACCTGCCTTACCTTGTGTGCTCAATAATGGTCTGAAGGGTAAAGCTTGTCCTCCCCAGCCAGATTCAATTCAACATTCAGTTTAGAGCTAGAGCTTTAGCTAATCTAGAACCTTCGATCCCAATTGCTTGTGCGTTCATATTCAAGTTGAAGGATTGGCTGAGGAGCTTGGTTGTTGTTGCTTTAGAACCGATTGGGATCTTCCCTGAAGTTGAAGAATCTATGCAGCTGTATATCGCTAGAACCTTCCACTGAGTTCACCTAATTGTGAACCATCCTATACTGTATTGTGTGTATATATACACAACAGATATCATCTAAAAATGTCCTGGATATTCGTATTATTTACTGGTTTTGATGGCTATGATGGATTTGTGTATTTCATCCACTATTAAATGTTAAGCTGATCTATTTTTTTTAACTGCAGTGTCATACACTAGGCAGTTCCCTCCTGCATTGTTCTTTTGGTTGTTTGATTCGCGTTCACACCCCTCAATGGTTGGCCATAGTTTTGTAAAACATTTGTATATTTTGAACTCTAAATGAAAAGTAGCTCTATATATTTGCGTTTGATCACCACAGTGGCCTGAAGTAGTGATTGAGAAAAAAACGAAAAGAAAAAAAAAACGTGCTGTTGCAATGTCTTGTTCAAACATTAAAAATAACGAAAACCTGGTATACACATGGTAAATCATGTATTTTCCTCCTTTTGGTTTACTGTATCAGTTATTTGATTATAGATTGGCCGTTTTTATTTACCACTGTCAGTGTCATCTTTAGGCACTCATAATTATTTCTAATAATGTTCCTGTTGTATTTCCTGTGTTGCTCAAATTATATGTAGTCATATGGTTTTCATTTTCCTTTTTGTTTTAAGGCCTAAATTGTTTAATGAAGCAATTAAATGTATGTGGTTGTCAAATGTATGACTTGTGATATTGGTGTTCACATCTCATTTTGTTTTAGCCATATTTAGCCATATAATCCTAAGTGGATTGTTTTGATCTTTTGTCCAGGGTACAGCGGACATATTCCATATTTCACAACAGTGAGTACTGGCTATTATCCTTCATATGAAAAGATGAAAGGAAAATAAAACAAGTCCACCAAATACTAGAAGGAAATGAAGTTGCACAATAATTTATTACACACAATAATAAAATACCTTTTACAAGTAGTCAAATAATTTAAAGCTATGTAAACCTAATCTATTTAATCTATTTAATTTTAATAGATTAAAGTGCTTGACAGTAGTGGCAAAATCAAAATGTCAATCAAAAAAATGAAATGACTGAAAATCCCTTATTTTATTATTAATAAAACTGTTCAACACTCCTGTAATCAATACATCTTCCCAAATAAAAATTAACAGCTGTATGCAATTATTTTAATATTCCTTGCATCATGTATCAAAATCATTTCAAATGGAAAATTACTTTTTTTACATTTCAAAGCACTTTAGTAACATCTCAAAATAAATGATCTTTTAAACAAAACTTTAAAGAACCTCAAAATTTAAAAAAAAAATCATGGACTATAAAACATTACTCAAACTGAGTTTGTCAGACACTCATTTTTGAACATGACATTTCCTGGCTGTAACCTGCCAGCTTTAAGTGAGAAATGTGTCATATTTTGTGAGTTCACAAAATATACTTCAGCTAGTAAACCATCACTTAAAAAATGCACTCTTTCACATTTCACAGACCTGTTCTTTTTACAAGCAAACTTCATAATAGATTAACTCAATCTTGCTTTTTGAGACTAGAAAAAGTCCAAGTATAGAGATAAACACCACAAAAGTATGAGTATGTATACTGTTCCCAACAGACAGCAGAGATCATTTATGCCACATTAACTCACAAGCAGAAGGATTTAGTTGCTAAAGGATCTGAAGATCTGACCTAATACGGTTCATTCAGTGGAAAAGAACATTTAAAACGGACAACAAAGTAGAGACTAAACCAGGCCATTTTGAACGGTCTACATTTCAAAATAAAAAACAAACAAAGGATTTGTAATGGATATAGCTACACAGTAAATGCACAAATGCACTTAAAATGGATCCACAATTAGTCCATGTAGGTCCCATGCTAGCAGTATAAGGTTGGAGAGTGATTCATTACAGAGGCTGACATGGCCCATATGGCACTTAAATTTACACCACATGCAAACTTTTTGCATCTACGAACATGCATCCATCAGCTATGCACAGGTATGGTGTGTTTACAGTCAGGACAGGCGTGATTACTAGCCCCAGGCAGCCCAACTGCATGCTCGGTTGTGGCTATCAGGAGTGTATCAAGTGTAATTTCGGTGCATTTTGCGATAAAGCGAATAAAGGGCCTTACGTCGCCCTCATTGGCAGTATCCAGGGCGGCGTAATACTCCGCCCTCTGCTCTTTCCGAATGGTGATCGGCGGATAACTAGCTTGCATTAGGATTAAATTCATGAGCAGTCGGGATGTCCGTCCGTTCCCGTCCACGAACGGATGCACGTAAACCAGTTTATAGTGTGCGAGAGCTGCGAACTCCACCGGGTGTAGATGCAGCGCTTCCTCGGAGTTCAACCACTGCACCAGCTCCTGCATGTACCTGTCCAAGTCCTGCGGGTGCGGTGGGATATGATGTCCCACGAACACCTGGCTGGCACGGAATCGGCCGGCTTCAATGGGATCGGCGTAGCCTAGTACCCGTCGGTGTATCTCTAAGATGTCATTTACAGTGATTGCTCCAGCGCGGGACAGCAAGGTGGTGTTGATGTACTTCATGGCTACATCGACACCAATTGCCTCGTTCTGTTCTTGTAGACTCTTTCCTGGTACAGCATATCTGGTCTCAATAATATGGCGAATCTCCGACAGAGTGAGCGTGTTGCCTTCGATAGCTACAGTGTGGTAAATATGATGGTAGTAGGTTTCCTCCATGACTCGACGCAAAGCAGAGTTGCCTTTGGGTATAGACATGAGACGTCGTACCTTTCCATCAATGATTCCAAAGTGGCGTTGATCTATTTCCTCTACTAATGGGAGCGTGCGATCCCTGCTCACCAGAGCCTTCTCGTTACAGGGTGAGATGGCGAGGGCCTTGGTGTACAGGTGGTCTGCTTGGACAACGTCTTTTTCCTCCTCCAGTATGGTGCCCAATTCAGTGAGCGCCTCCACAAACTCTGGGTTCATGTTGAGTGCGTGGATGAGCAGCTTATGAGCCTTCTCCCTCTTGCCATTTTTCTTCATCTCCAAAGCCTGCTGGAGAGCCGCCTTTGCCTCCAACTGAGTCTCTGTAAACAAACAGATGGTCAGCATTTCACAGCATGACATTCCAGCTGAGAGACGCATAATCAATAGACACGAACACTTGAAAGTAAGTTTCATTCTTAATTATTTTTCATAGTTGTATCTGTTTAATCTAAATTTACGACACAGTAAATTGCATGTAAACCTGATTGCAATGAGCTTCTAATGAGCATAATCTAATGAGTATGATTTCAACTTTGGCCTGAGGTGAATGAGACAAAAATATTAGATTTAAAAAATCTAAAAAATGAAATGCCTTTTGCAAACTTTTCCATTACTGAACATATATAACTAAATTAGAACAGGAAATTCAATAACAAAAAAAAAAAGAGGGTGAGACTCTGAACCGTAAAAAATTGGCATTTCCAGAAGTGTTACTGCTGTTAACTGAAAGCTAAAGCTGAAATAAAATATAAATATTTGCTGAAAATTTTCAAATTAAAGAAATGTAAACAAAAATTGAATTAATCAAATTAATTCTAAGATGAATAAATGAATAATTGAAATTTTTATGTTTATATTTTATATGTCCTATGTAGAGGACACCAGGACTCAGTTAATAAGAAAATGAAAACAAGACCCCATTATGAAAACAATGTTTTTGTTTTTATATTACATTTGTATGTTCAATATACCAGTCAATTTTTAGGTTCCAGGCTATTTTTTCTTATAATTTTCCTCTATAAAATGGATATTTACAGAATATTTATATTTTGTATGAATACTAGTGTCTGCACTTAAAAGGTGTTTGATGGAAATTAACTCCAGGAAACTTCCACCTGAAACAAACTTTGATCTGTACAAAGATTCTCAACTATGATATGAAAGACATTAGGCTGGGTTTTCCTATTATAATCAACGCATCTATTAATTGTCTCTAATTTGCATATTAAAGTGCTCCTATTATGGATTTTTGAAAATGACCTTTCATGCAGTGTGTAACAGCTCTAAGTGAATGAAAACATCCTGCAAGGTTTTAAATCTGAAAGTGCACCGTATAAAGTTATTGTCTCTCAAAAGAAAGAGTCGACTCTGAATCATTGAAACGAGTCGTTTTTAAAACGAATCCCAAGCCCTTTCATGTTGAAGGCAACATGAAACATTAGCATATTGCCCGCCCACTTGTTGGTCTTTTCGCGTTGGTCTGAATGAAAATGCTAATTCATTCTTTGCCCCAAGGTGCTGCTTTTGGAGCGGTAAAAATAGCGGTTTCCCCGGTAACGCTGTACACAAAGCAGCACTGCGCTCACAAACACCGCTTTATCAGGCATTACAGGCAAGATGAAATGAAAATGAGACCGATCGGACCAATCACCGCAGATTAGCGTCATGCAAAGGAGGGGTTTGGAGAAATAAATCGTTTGGGAGTCGTTGAGCAAGTAAGGTAAAAAATAAATGCATATTATAAGACAATGAAAGTGTTTTTTGGCCTTGCATGCATGTCAACCTGTTGTTGGGGACTCCCAAAACCAAAATATGAACCTTTCATAACCCATAATAGGGGCACTTTAATGTTTTTTTGGGGGCAACATGCAATGAAAAAATAAGCATAATAACGAAAATTAAACATTTTCATAATATAACATCTCATATTTCATAGAAATACTGATATGTAATTTTTTTCCCTATTCACTTATTATGTCTCCCTAGTGCCTAAAATACCTGATAAGCATGAAGTATGTCCTGGTGTCCACTATAGTGGACATGTATGAAATTGATGCATGTTTCACAACAGAAAGCCATATTCTGCTTTGAATTTACAACAAAATTAGTCGGATTTAAATTATAATTTCAAAATATTACCATATTTCCATAAGAGTGCTGAATTTAGTCATACAGTCAATGTCTGTCATATTTAAAGACCTAGGAGGTGGAGTTGTCATGGTTAAACGTCCAATCATTTGTTATCGCCGAAAAGCCCTGAATGTGCTCGAAACAGGACATTCAGACGTAAAACTGTGGCATGTATGGTCTCAGAGAAATTTGCTCAAATATAATGTCCTCTACAGACGCATACAAAGTTCAACCGATTTATTCCCTCAACTTGGCAACCTACAGCCCAGTGATGCTATTGATATCTGCACCGCGGGAGGGAAACAAGGATCACTGGTAGAAATGGGAGGAGAAGACTCAGGTGGTGCTCCGGTGAAAAAAACAATGTAAATTGAGATATAGCTTACACTTCAAAAGGCTATGGTTTAATTGATTAAAAATGAGCGCTGCAAGTTTCAAAGTCAGCTGCTGCACTGCTTTGTTTACTGCGGTTACCGGGGAAACGGCTATATTCCTGGCGAAAAGCGCCACCTG